CCACACGGATCAGAGTGTGCAGGCTCCCCTCTTCCTCTTAAAAAAAAAAAAAAAAAAGGCACTTTTGCTGCAATGCAGAGATTTCCCCCCTGCGTAACACAAATACATATTCCTTTATTTTATCTCACAATTGTTCACAGGAACAGTATCAACAGAAGGGTATTTGAAAAGGGCCTTGTGGGAGGATATGTTTGTGGTTGCGATGCATAACTAGAAGGCTGTTGCCTCAGAGAGAGGCCCCGGCATCTTGTCCTAACACATTAACAGTCAGCACTGCCGACATTTTTAACTATCGCTGTAGCGTTTATGTAACCGGTTCACTGGAGAATTGAGGAACAGCTCATTATTATTCAGTAGCACAAGAGGACTTTTGGTTTTGGATTTACAGAAAGAGTGACCTAGTCATAATTCAAGAGAAAGCACCGATTGAAATGTTACTATTCTCCTGCCTTGTGTCAAGCCACAAGAGAAGGAAAAGATTCTTGGCTTCTCCCACGCATTGGACTGCTCAAACCGAAAAGGGTGATGTAACACTGTGAACAGCCTTCTGTTAGGAAAGGGGGAAAAAGCTCCCTGATACACATTGTCTTTGTGTAGATGTCTTATGGATCTTTCTTTTCTGCACCAGTGTGTGAAAACAGGACAGTCTAGAGCACCATAGCCTAATGAAAAAAAAGGACATGAAGCCATCAAACAGAGGAGAGCTTCCCTCAGATAGTCTCACACACGTCTTGTAAAACATGTACACATTCTGTGTTTAGTTTTGCTGCCTGACCTGTGAAGGGAAGACTAAAAGTTTTCCTAGTTAAGAGCCCTCTTTAACACAAAATGGCCACTGCCTGCCCGCTCTGAGGATCAGAGAGTGGAGTGGAGGAAACATTGCCACAACATTGCTGCAGAGCCAACGACCCACAGGGCTGTAAACTCAGGGCCTGTAATCAGAGGTTAAACTGTGTTTCTACATGAAGTAATGCTGGAATATCTGACAGAGGATTTCTCTTCAACGACAGGCTGGTTTCCGTCTTGCTAATCCTCACTGACCAGCATGGAGTGCAGAAACTTCTTCCTCGTTGCGTTTTTCTTTCATGTGTACAATTGTAGTGTCTGAATGTGTTATTATACATGCATAAAAAAAAAAAAATGAAAACTAGTATTCATTACACACCTTGTGCTCCTTTTCCACCTAACAAGCACATCTGTTGCCCCCCCCCCCTATGTTTCTTCCCCGGCCTGGCATGACGCACAAGAAAAAGCAAAGAGCCAATCCATTTACAAAGGGTACATAATAACCCCCTCCTTCATTGCCCATCCCCCATTCTTTCTCTGCCAGGCTACAACACAAGACTGCCACAAGAGAGAGGAGATGTGGGTGCCATTTTTAAACCTAACTCTCTTTTGCATTATAAAAAAAAAAAAAAGGAAAAGGATTTGCCATGGTCCACTCTGCCTCCTGTATGGCAGCCTGGTTGTCTGGGGCACCCATGTGACCCTGAGACACAGAAAGAGAGCAAGGGTGAGAGTCGTTACCCAACCCCCCACCCTCCTCAGCTCTGTGGAGCAGAGAGGCCTGCCGAGGCCTCCAATCCACCCCAACTCCTCCTCCTCCTCTTGCCCATGCACACTAGACTGATTTTAAGGTGTGCACATTCTTCATGAGAAACCAACAGTCAGCACAACGACAAGAAGGAAGCCATGTTGTTATCAGATAGTTGAGATAAAAAAAAAAGACAGAGCTTACCTCTGTGGATGCATGGCTGCCTGACACACTGTTATGTCAACACTTATAAAACATGGAGGACACTCTCAGCCCTCAGCCGGGGAAGGCTCCGCTCTTCAGGCAAGGCGATCAGGCCCCAGTGATGTTAGCCAGATCCTGACTGGTCGCTTTCCTCACAGGCAAGATGCAAGGCGGCGTCTGATTGGCCGAAATGTTTCCTGAGTAATTATCTTTGTTCAGTGCAGGCAGGGGCAGCACTGTGACTGTCAGAGACAGGGGAGGAAAAATAAGCAGAGAACTAGGCCTAAAATCACAAATTACAGTATAAATATAAGTATTTAGGACATACAAACCCAATATAACAACATTTTGAATCTTCCTGGTGTAGAATCGTGGCTGGGTTGTCTTATTTTCAGGAGAAATGGCAGCTTGTAGACTCAGGAGCAGGACACCATGGCTTCTTTGCACAAGCCTCCATTTTTTATGTGGACAGGGCCTTTGTTTAAACTCCTCCCTCCCTCTTGGCTGTTACCAGAGAAAAGAGAGGCTATAGCTCTTCACCTAATTTGGCTCTTCAGTCTGCAAATAAAACAAAATTAGGCTGTTAAAATCAGAAAATCTGAACCACTTGTGTGTTGCAAAGGAGAGTAAAAAAAAAAAAAACATGTCTTTTTAAAGCACACAACACTTTTAATACTGTAATAACCTTTATTTATAATTACCCAGTTAGGGGGTCACTGATTTAATATTCTTATGCCTAGCTCCTCCTCTATGTGAACAAATAATTAAATTAAATTTGAATAGTTAAATAATGAGTGTAGAATTTCCCTTTGCCTGTGCAGTAAAAGTATTTTTTTATAAAATTCAAACCCAGCTTGATAAACCACATGTACACAGTATCACACGCTCTGTGCTTAGAAAACTATCAGCGCATAATATTGTATCATCCTACACAGTAATCCTGCTATAAATACAATCTGATAATACACTCAAAATGTTCCTATTTCCAGAGTCCAAAACTGACTTCACCATGAAAGTCAGGTACTTCAGTTTTATAATGGACGACATATTAGTCCAATATAACTGTTCTATTGCATGAAGTTTACGGGGCTGAATTACACATACACGGGTTTCTAAAGCATTACTCCTCCACAGATGCAAAAAAGGGCATTGTTAAAGAAAATAGAGATATTTCTTTATAAATTACCGTCTGGTTTTTTTTCATCATTATACACCGTATTCTGCCCTTATGTTTCAGTTTGTGAGTTTTAAGGAGGAAAAAATGTATGCCGCCCAACGTGGGGCTCGAACCCACGACCCTGAGATTAAGAGTCTCATGCTCTACCGACTGAGCTAGCCGGGCGATGAAGACACCACACGGTAAATAACAATTTTCTTCATATGCAGAATAAGCTGGTCTCGTCGATTATTATAATTTGCGTCACATCGTTCTGAGTTTACGACTGAACCGGTGAAAGGGAGACTGAGGTACCATGAGGACCTTCTCTTATTCTGCTTCAATCTCATACTGCCCTCTAGCGTCGAAAAGCACAACTTCATGCAATAAAATGTAATCCAAACTCTAATTTGAGACCAAATCCACATTGTATGACACATTGAAAGTCTAAACCTACCTACAATAAAATAGATACTACAACTTGTAGTCACTAATGTTTTTTTTCTCCTTCTTCCATTAAAAGAGCCAAACATGAAGGTTAATTAATGAGTTTCCACCCTTAGGTTTCGATTTACGCTGCAACCATTAGCTTTCTCTTCAAATTGTTCATTATGAAACACACAGTATCGCCTACAATATTCGGGTTGAGCTTCACAAGCATGACCTTGTAATGACACCATAAGCGCTCCAAAACACTCACCGCAACAACCACAGGCCTTCGTCTTTTCATCAACCAACCCAAACACAATCTGTGCAAAAGACGACCGATAGCCTACGACGACCACCGAGTTGATACTGTAAAAAAAAAAGCAACAATCATGCTGCAGACAAGATAGCTTGTGTTACTTAGCTTGTCAGCGCTATCAGCTTGTGTCACACTGGACTCTTCTTTGATATCATTTGATGGTTTAATTGTGTTTTAATGCCCGGCCTTAATGTGCCGCATAGGCCTCGAACCCACGCTAGAGCTTCAGCCTCTGGTTTGAAGAAATGGGGTTTTTAGCCAATCACAGAATTGTAACACTGGTCTCTTTGTTTCAGAATAAAACACAAAGGAGTAGAAAAGGGATTAGGAGAAGGAAAAAGTAGGCTACAAGGGTTACCCTAAACACTAAATTACACAATTGGCCTGCAAGTTGTGACTGTAAAATCTAATTTGAGGGTAAAAGTTCTAAAGAGGGAAATGTCTTCCTGTCCTTGGTTGTACTATTATTATTATTATTTTCTGAAACAAAAAAATATATAATCTATAAAAAAAAACATGACAACAGGTTCAGCTATTCTATTTAAATATAAATGAAATTGACGCAAACAAAACGTGTTGCCACCTAATGGTTATTTTTGATTCTCTTTTTATTTAATGTTTTTTTTTTTTTTTTAATTAAAATAGAAACAGGCAATGGGAAGGAAAAACTCTAAACATAAGTTATTCAGAGGCTATATGTTCCCAAGCCTGCCTGCAAGTTCCCAGTTTTGTACATACATATATCCACACAAACCTTTACATACATACATATCAATCAATAATAATTGATTAATAAAAATACATGACAAAAATTTCTATTTCAAAATAAAAGAAATTGACGCAAACAAAACGTGCTGCCACCTAAAGTTAAAAAAAATGTGTGGTACTTTTGGAACCCCATACGCCATTGTTTTTTTATTTTATTTTAAAATGTATGATGTTTAATGTATGATTGTGATGTATTTTCTGTTTTCTGTAGTGTTTATCTTTATTGTTGTTGTCTTTATGATTTTATGTGTAATGTTGCAATGCCCGTTAGTCTGTCCTTACTTCTGTTCTTTCTGTTTTTAACTATTGTAAAGTGTCTTTGAGTTTTTAAAAGCGCTTATAAATAAAATGTATATTTATTATAATTAATATTTTTTGCCTAAATAGCTTGTAACGTTTCTTACATCCTATTATTTGTATGAGACCCTAAAGTTGAATTCAAGATACGTTCAAGCCTACTGCTTGATTCTTCGCTATTTGCGTGAAAACAACTGCTCTGTAAAACGGCGTTTACGTGGGGTGCGTGAAGGCACCACGGGCCAGGGTTCTCCTTCTACGTCAATCCGTCAGTGACACTGGGCGGTTCATGAATGGGTCTCTTAAAGTGGGAGGGCCCGTCATCTGACTTCGCGAGGCAGGAGAAAAAAAAAGAAAAAGAAAAAAAAAGTGGGTGTTTCTGCTGCTTGCTGTAGTGTTTGGTTTGATGCGATGCAACTTCATGACTGTTTTTAAAACACAAGAGGAGCAGCGGGGTCTTTGTGCTTAGGGAACTGCCGGGGTGGAAGCGAACATCCATCGATCCGCTGAGACGTGCAGGCCGAGCCGCCGACGTGGGGGGGGCGGCGCGGGGGGGAGGAGGAGGAGGAGGAGAGAAAGAGCTACCTCCGATCAAGCTACACGGGAGAGGAGTGGAGAGCCCTGTCGATGAGCCATGGGTTTCCGCAAGAAGAACAAGAGCCCGCCGGTGCTCAGCCACGAGTTTGTGATCCAAAATCACGCCGACATGGTTTCGTGCTTGGCCATGATTATCCTCCTCGGCCTGATGTTTGAGGTACTGTGTGAGTGGAGACGGGGCATGGTGCTGTTGTTAGCCGAGTGATGCTAGGCTGTGCTGCTAAGTGTCGTGAGCTGACAGCAGCGAGCAGCACTCCAGGGGCAGGTCGCTTGCGTGTCTTTTACTTTCCCTTCTCGTATGTCTTACTCTGCTTGCCAAAAAAGATAGTTAGGAGGCCCCTGCAGCTGACATGTCATTTTACAAGTGCCCCCCCCCCCCCCCCCTTAGCGATTCCATAGCTTGACATGTATCAGGCCTTAAGGCAGTGAGGTTGTCAAGTAGTCTGCCTGTTTGCATGCTCCACATTTAATGGCTTTACTCTTTGGTTCGACAGAGCTGACTAGCACCTTGCCACCTTTGAATGAGACAAGGATGCTCTCCCATAACCTGTCCTAATCTTCTAAACCAAGCCAATGGACTCCTGATAACAGAAGGATAAATACGACTTGTGTCCTTATCAGCCCTTTTACCTGCAAAGATGAAGATACAATAAGCATTATACTAAGTTAACACACTCATCATACTGACACAAGTAGGTCATTGCCGCAATCATATTGAGCTTATAATGCATCAGGAGAGCCTTGGCAGACCTTAGTTTTGAGAATTGTGGATCTAGTGTTCACTCATTACACATGTGCATGAAATGATGACTGCATTTTTCACAATCCTTTCACACTAGAAGATAAACATTCTGTTTCTGTACACCTGTGCAAAAAATATATATATTATGACAGAGTTTTAATAGTACACTGACATGGGACCATTGAAGAGGATCATACACACATTTAGTTCATTAACACAATGAGTGTTTAAGGATGCCACCAGGGACAGACCTTTTTATTCTTACTGAAATCTGTCATGTAATATTGTAAATGTTTTTCTTTTGTGTTCCAGGTCACGGCAAAGTTTGCCATCATGTTCATCACAGTCCAGTACAACGTCACACAAGTTCTTGGTGAGCCAAATGCATACTTGTCTAGCCAACCTTGCAGTTTAACTGGACTTCCCTTCATCATCCGTCACTTCAGTGGTTGCTTACTCATTTTAAGCCGCCATTTAGACAAAAGTGTTTCTGCTTCTGTTTTTCTTCAGATGAGAAGACTGAGCCCGTGAACCTTTACCAATACGGCCCTAAAGATATGGCCACTGTTTTTTTCTACCTGCTCATTGCAGTCATCCTTCATGCGTTAATACAGGAGTACATTCTGGACGTGAGTACATCAACCATGATATTGGCCACCCACATTGTTTGTCTGTTACATGGTGACTTCAATTTTTGATCGTTAAAAACGTTGAGCTTAAAAATGTAATGAGGGGAAACAGAAACTGTTCTAATCATGTCCAAATTTCTAAGGCCCGACCGATATGGGATTTTTGAGGAAAGAAATCTGATACCAATAAATTAGCCGTTATCTTTCTTTGATCTGTGTTCGATCTTTAGTGATAGATAGATATACACATTTGTGGCATTTATCCCTTAAATGCAGTTATCAAACACTTGTGGAAAAGGTGTTTTAACAAAGACAGGATGGTCACTCAACTGGAAAGTAACTACGCTCGATGTGCGTCACCACTTGACACTCTGGAGAGTGATAATGCTTGATGTAATCAATATAGCGCACTCTGCTGGTGATAGAGAACTGCTAGTGTAAGACACTGAATGACATGCTTTTTGACTAGTGAATAAATCTAGAAATATCGGCGCATATCTGTGATAAAATGAGTCGATACGATAATTGCTCGATACGCCAATATCGGCTGATATTATCGGCTGGCCGATTAATCGTTCGGCTCTAAACATTTCCAGCTGCGCTGTCGCATAATGACGGAAACTGCTCGTGCTCCTCACAGCTTTTGTCTTTTGTTGGATGAATTCCCAGAGGACGAGCATCAATAGAAGAAAAATATTTTTTAATGTTTGTATTCCAATAATCAGAAAAATCTTTTATGAAAAAGGTTCAACAGGGTAGAAGGTTTTTTTTTAAACCGCTGTCTTTCTTTTCTCAGAACAGGATTCCACTCTTCTCATCAGTCTTCACAGTTATTATGTGATTACGTAAACAGGTTCTGCCTTCTATAATATTGGCAGTTAGAAGACTTTCTTATGTGCTTACAGTTTAAGAATGGGGGACAAAGATGGATTCAGTATAATACATCAAATATTTTTCTTTATAATTGAAGAAGTTCTGATAGCGGTATGAGTGACTGGCAGCGTGATGTATGCTCTTAAAAAAAAAAAAAAAAGGAAAGAACTACATGTCCCCTCCACCCGTTTCTGATATGTTTGTTTGATTTCAGAAAATGAACAGGAGGTTGCACCTGTCAAAAACCAAACACAGCAAGTTCAACGAGTCCGGACAGCTTGCAGCGTTCTACCTGTTCTCCTTCATCTGGGGCTGCAGCATCCTCACAGCGGTACGAGGGTCAGGACCCCGGAGAGAGAAACACAATGTCCCAGCATGCATTAGTCGTTCTCTTATTCTCTGTCTTTTTTGCCTCTTGACAGGAGGACTTTGCTACGAATCCTACCTTCTTATGGGAGGGTTACCCACACACTTACATGGTGTAAGTAAAGATTTATTGTTACCTACTGCTCGTTAGTTCATGTCTTATAATTAAACAGAGAACACAATCAAATATTAACAAATCACGCAAGGAAAAGGCTTTTGGGAGCTCCGCAAGGAACCACAATAAGCTTGAGCAGTTTATGTTTGAACTTGTTTGGGAATCATGTATCAATCTTCTATCTATTAAAGTCGAGGTTTCATATCGTGGAATAATGAAAAGTGATGTTTTTCTTTTTTACATTATTTAAGACTATTTTTGATTCACCTTTTCTCACTGGATTTATTTTTATGGTTTATGTTATTGCATTTGAAATAGAGTTTTGAGTAAAATAATATTAATCTCACCTCAGTACATGCTGAAATAACGCCCCGGCTCCTTTGGACAACCTTTGTTCTGTCTAGTTTTCAGGTCAAGTTCTTCTACATTTGCCAAATCGCCTATTGGCTTCACGCACTCCCCGAGCTGTACTTTCAAAAAGTACGAAAGGTGAGTGACATTTAAATCCAAGTGTTAGCTGTAAAAGGAGAGAAAAACATTTTGTAAATGATAAACAGCTGTCTTGCTTCTCAGGCAGGAGGTGAAAGGTTTGTTCTGTTCAATTTGGGTTTTACATCCACGTCAATCAGTTTGATGACGGCCGTAGTGTTTATACATCAGTCAGCTAATGTCTCCTCTAACCACTGCTGTTGTCATTTGTCTCCATGAGGAATCAGCTGAGGACTGTTCCGATGTCAAGTCAAGTCGAGTCAACTTTATTCATATAGCACATTTAAAAACAACCAAGGTTGACCAAAGTGCTTTACAGAGTAAAAAGGTAAAACATGAAAACAAGAATTCTTCATAAAATAGTCGTTAGAGTAATAGTGAAAAAAAAGTTTAAGGCCTGAAAAAGTTCTGATCCCGAAAGGAAGGCCAAAGAGAAGAGATTGGTCTTGAACAGGGATTTAAAGCATTCAAGAGTGGGGGGGGGGATTTCACATTTATAGTGGTAAGATGTTCCACAGGTTCAGGGGAGCAACGGCAAAGGATCAGTGGTCCCTAGTTTGAAGCCCAGTTTATGGCACATCCAGAAGCAGCTGATTGGTTAACTTCAGTGCTCTAGCTGGAGTATGAAGATAGAGAAGTTAGGCTAGGTAAGGTGACAGTCCGTTAAGAGAATTCGAAAAATGATCCTTGAACGGACAGGAAGCCAAAGGAGGAAGAGCAACACCGGAGTAATGGGATCCCTTTTTTTTTCTTTCCAGTCAGGAGGCAAGAAGTGGCATTTGAAACTGCTACAGGCGTTAAGTGTATGACTGGTCCAAACCCACATACAAAGAGTTAGTCAAGTTAAGATGTTATAACTGCGTGAATCATACTGTCTAAATCTTTAGGAGGGAGATAAGCTTTTACATCAGGCATAAATCTCAACTGATAGAAGCTAGACTAAACAACAGAAGACATCTGCAGTTAATGTGAAGTATCATGGAGCACATGTGAGCTCTGAGTATTCACTCTGACCTTCAATAATCTGTTACATTTATTGTACAGAAGTAAAGAAACCACCATGATGGGACCGGTATAGAAAAGAAATGGCTTATATGATATTATGTAGATGTGTATTGCATCCATACATGCTTGCAATAACCACTAGGCTACCAGGGCCCCCAACTTCTCCATCTTAAAATAGTAGTTTTAAAGTCTATCTAATAGTACAACAACTTTTAACAGGCAGAATAGCGTCTCTCCCAAGTCCACGGATCGCCTCGGCCGCCTGCTTATTATAACACTATGGAAGTTTTGCAGTGGGCTGACGTTTGTACGGCTTTGATATAATGGCTGAGGCAAAGAGATGAAAGAGGAAGGAGATGGATGAAGATAAAAAGAGAGGGTTACCGAGCAACGGTCAGCTTGCCAACCAATGCACATTAGTGCAGTTACACTTGGAGACCTTCGGGTGGGCGCCAAAGTGCACCAAACCAAATTCCTGCATATTGTTGCTTTAATAAGTTAAGATAATTAATCTTAACAATCAAAGATAAAAAGCTGTAGATGAGCCCTGCTTGGCTGAGTTTTAACATGTGCAGTCTTGAAAGACAATCATTACATACACCATTACACAAGTTACCTTCAATTTAAATGTGTCATGAGATGGATAATCTCATGTTTAATGAAATTAAAACTGCTAAAAGTCTTCATAATGAAATATTTTGACATGCGGCTCACATCGTGCTCAGCTGTTGATGTTTATTTGCGTCTTTCTTTGTTTTGTTTCTCCAGGAGGACATCCCCCGCCAGCTCTATTACATTTGCCTTTATGTTGTTCACATCACTGGTGCCTACGTCCTAAAGTGAGTGAAACGAGTCTTCTTTATTTATCAGATTCTTGAAGATATAGTTCCTGGTAGATCTTTCAGAAAAGTTCAGTTTATGTTGAAAGCAAAGACAGTGTTTCACTCATTGTCTGATCAAGTTGTTCAGACATTTGACGTTTTGCTGTAGCAGGAAAATATGTAAATGTAAAATAACAAATACAGGATGGACAGTACTTTTCCTATTTGGCTGCCCTTTGTTGTCCTTGAACAATTCTGCATAATCCACAACCAGTCTCTTATCTATGATTGTGAAAATTCTTTATTCTTTCATCCAACAAAATTTGTACAAAGTTCTTAAAGTCTGGAATCTGCTGATTTTAAAGATGTAGTTTTTAACGCTAAGAAAATGCTTCATCTCAAAGACATCCTTTTTGAAAAATGCTAATATTCTGTTGTTTCTTTTTCACCATCACTCATGTAAACCATAGCGTTATGGTGTTTGTAAATTAAGCTATCCAGGTCAGGGTCATATTTGTTTGTCTCCTGGGGTCTCACAGCCGATACTGAGCGGAGTTAGACTGACTGATATGAATCTGAAATGAAAAGAGGATTTTATTTCACAACAAAAGTGTTGGATTTTTTTTGGTTTAGATACTCTGAATTTTACCCCTCAAAAGCAGAACAAACACTGATCCGCAAAAATGTTTACACCTGGAACAGACAGGTTTTTAATATACTGATTCATGTCTAATTCTATAAGGAGAGTAGCTTTTTTCCCGCCCTTTATTCACCATGTCGTCTCATGTTTGTTGCCATCCCCTCTCTCTGTGCCCCGTCATGTTTAGCCTCCACCGACTGGGCCTGGTTCTTCTGGTCCCTCACTACCTGGTGGAACTCCTGTTCCACGCCTCGCGCCTCTTCTACTTCAGTGACGAGAACAAACAGAAGGGGTAATCCTGAAGTTCATCTTACACAACGAGTTGAAGTTGTTTCAAGTGGTGTGATCTGAAAAACCTGATGTCATGTCTTGTTCCATTTACAGTTTTACTCTTTGGGCGCTGCTTTTTGTCATAGCCCGCCTCCTCACGCTCACACTCTCAGTTCTGACATTTGGCTTCGGGCTTCCCCGTACAGAAAACCAAGGATTTTCTCTAGCAGAGGGAAACTTCAATGTACTCACCATAAGGCAAGTACTTGTGACAATTCGCAAGAAGAGTAGTTGTTTCAGCCGTGGTATTCAACATGAAGTTTTGGTTTTCCTTTTCACAGTTTAGGTCACTTTAGTTGTTTGTAAATTGTTTCCCCCCCTTCAGGATGACTTGTCTGGCAGCTATCTGCCTGACGCAGGCCTGGATGATGTGGAAATTCATTAACTTCCAGTTGAAAAAGTGGAGAGAGCACAGCCAGAACCAGGCGTCAAAGAAGAAGGTAGTGAGTCCAAAGAGCAGACCTCACAAACGGGAGCCTACAAGGGGTGAGTGCTTAGAAAACCTTCGTCCCTCATACAAAATGAATGTCATCTTTTTCAGTCTATGTCTCGCACACTAAATATTTCAGATTTTTTTCACACATAAATGCGTGAGCAATGTATCTATTTCTTCATCAGGAGGTGCTACCAATGGGATTGTGAAGTCTGAGGACAAAACATCGCCGCGGGCAAGAAAAGCCAAAGCCTCGTAGAGATTGAAGAATTTGGAGGAGGAAGGGGAAGGAAAAAAAACAAAAAAAAAACTGAGTGAGGGAGTTCTGACAATGTGACATTATGTCTTCACACAACTTCAGATTCTGTGTACTGCTCTCTAATGTTTCGGCGCACTAAGAAACCTTGCATAACTGTCCCTACGCAGTTGAAGCTCCTTTTCGAGAGAAGGTTCGGTGTGACTGTCGGCAGAAACGTTAAGTATTTGATTTGGGTTTTTTCTGCAGATGGGACGAGGGCAGGACAGAGGTGGTTTTGATGCTTTAACAGGATTGATTTAGCTCTTCAAAGTGTCCTTTTGTGTTAAACTGGCTGGGTACTTTGAACTGAGTTGTTCTTTGGTCATTTGAAATGGATCAGTTCACCTTAACAGTACTGTAAAAATGCGGATTTTTTACTTCAGGGCAACTTCATCTAAAGTGTGAAAGTACAGTTTAACTGTACGGGATGTTGTTTAAAGTTTGAGACGGCACCATGATACATTACTGTTGTCACTAAACCATCCTAAATGAACTGCTCTCGAGACATATGTCTGCTATTCAGTAGAGGTATTCAGTGTGGCTGCAGCCAGACAACTGAAGCTCGTACTTAACTCCTTGATCATTTACTGCCATCGTTTGACAGCCTCTGCCTTTGAAATCCTATGTGTTGCAGGATTGAGGCCCTTTTAGTGTTTTACTTTTGCTTTCATCAGCGGCCTGGTTATCAGCTTCAGCCTCTTACTGGGGGCTCGTCCAGGTTCTTGACAAGTGACTCGACCAGAGGAAGCTGTACCGTAACCTTTGACGCTGTAGTGTATGCACGCAGTTACATCCTTATAATGGCATGGCTAGAAAGCAGGAAGCTGTGTTTGAGACTGCCATGAGGTCTTTTCTCCGTTATCAGTCAATGCATGATGGGTTTTAAGGCTGCAGACGTCATAGCTAGCTCCTCCCTGTGCTGTTGACTTTGCATCTCTCTCTCTCTTACACACATACACACACCAACATGCATTCAGTGGCCTTTTCACAACTGCTGCAAGAAGTTTTTGAGTTCTTTAATCTTTTTGCCGTATACTTCAGAAAGATATTATTTTCTATGCTTTGAGACGCTATAACCAGCAAACACAGCGGTACATAGCAAGTGCGTTCAGTTAACCCGAAACAATACAATCTTTCTTCAAGTGTCCTTATAACGTCGGTGGTTTGTATCACTCGTTCTGCTTGTGTCGCGTTGTGTTGCCTTCTCTGCTGGTCTCTTATTCTTGGGTATCAGGGGAGAAGCTATTCACCACTTACCCTACAAGTAACAACATCCCATGATGCAATGGGAGGCGTGTTTGCAAAGAGGGAGGTGTTTGTATGCCTGTGCACTTAACTCGTGTGTGGACAGTATTGTTTTGCCTACTTTGTGTGTGAATTAACTGGGTGTGGATGATGATGACACCGATGACAACAATGTTTATTGCTTGTCTCGTAAAAAAAGAAATATATATATATATATATAAATATATATATGCCTGCGTGCAGAGCATGAAATGTGACAATCTGTTTATGAGCTCCCGCCCGGTTTGTTTGATTTCTCAGTTACTCCCTGTCTTTCAGTTCACTTAGGTACAGCTCGTTTCAGGTCCCACAGCACCTCTGTGTGTAAAACACTGTGGATCGTGGATCGCTGTGTGTTCTATAGGTTACTAAATGCTTCTGTGTTCAATGTCTGGACGCCCCTCAGATCCACCTCTCCGTGCGAGAGAGATTCTGTGGTCGTCCTGTCCTCCTTGCTTCACCTTTTTCGATGATTCTGACATTGACCCGAAGCTCAGCCACGCCCTCTTTTTGATCATGGACCAACTCCTGCTCTAACACTAGATAGTGCAGGTGAAGCTGTGTGCAGAAAACGTGAAGTTCGGGGGACTTCTAAGACGAGAGCAGGGAGGAGACGAAGACGCCATGGTAACTTTTTGCTCCCTTTAGCGTTTCCTCCTTGTGACTTAAGGTTGTCTTAAAATCCCCGCGTGAGTGTCGGGCAGTGTCATAGGAGGAAAGGAGAAGCAGAGGACTTTTGTACCAGCCTGTTATTAAACTGTCTCAGATATAAATGAGGAAAAAAAAAAAAAGAACTTAACCCTACACTGTAATACAATATGTGTCAGATTTTTAAGCTATTTTTATAGAGGGGGAAAATTCACTGTTGTTCAGTACACACGTGTGAAGATTTGTTTTGCATCCATATTGATAGGAATTGTTTTTTTTTTTTATATGAGAATGAAGCTTGCTGAACTGTTAGCTTGGATAATCATTGTGGTATGAGTGTAAAACATTTACTTAGCCTAATAGTTGATTTAACTTCATGGCCTTATTAGAGCAAAATGAACTCAGTTGTATAACAGTGCTCACTGAACAGTGTGCTGCAGGCTTCCACTGCAGCTTTCACAACTACATGTTTTATGACAGTGAAATTACACCATGGAGCCCTCATCATCACACAAGTTAAATATAACATCAGAGGAGAGGAGGAAATGGTCAGTGTTGTGTTTAGTTTGTTCCGGTCCTGCAGGTGTTTTTTCATTTTTTCAGTTTTTGTCACGACCCTGCATGTAGAGCAAACAAACTTTATTTCGCAGAGTGAAACAATCTGTAAGGATTTTCCTGCTCGTTCAGTCAGACGGCAGACGTTCAGGCTCTGACACACGAGCCGCCCTGCAGTTCACACCCCCTCTCGCTTAGAGACACAGTGGCCTGTATAATCCCACAAGAATGCACTTTTTGTTTGCATAATATGTATTTATGTCAGAGCATCACAACACCGCTTCTCCACTCGGGCGCTCTCTATACTTAACATGGTTTACAAGTTACTCAATTCAAAACTGTGCAATTTGTCATTGTTGGAAACGCAGATAAGGACATCAATAATTCAACTGTATGAGCAGCCTCTAGGTGGCAACAATTTTGCATTTGACCAGGAGATCTCTTTAAAAGAAAAACAAAAAAAAACAAAGACATGCACAGAAGAGACACATGTTTATTGTACTTATTTATTTGCATTGTTCTTGATTTGTTTTTATTTTGCTGCTTGTTTTTAGATGTTACGGTATATATTTCCTTTCCAAATATGTTGTCTCTGAACTGCTCTGATGGTAAGTATTTATGCAAATTCCTGTGCTATCTGATCGTTTTTTCCTTTGCCGCCATTGTTTTTCTTCATGTTTGAATAAAGCTTTTATTCATTACACAAACTTGTTGGACATGTTTTTAACACAGTGTTCACATTTGTAAGAGTAGAGATGTCTCCATGGAAACCCCATGTTTAGGGGAGGGGGGGCAAAAACTCTGGAGTCTCAAAGTGCACAGTAAATTATGAGTGCTGTAGATAATTACCCACTCCTGAGGTGACTGAGGGCTGCGCACAGCATATTCGATTCTGAGGCTTCCCACGACTCCTGCTCACTACAAATTTTCCACCGATTTCACTTGAGGATATATTTGAAGACCTACTTGATTTTTTTTTTTTTTTATATTTTTAATTTATAGAACCCTTCTGGGTGGTGTCAGGAGACGCAAGGAAATATTGGTCATTTTCTACCTTTCTGTCTAATTACCACCAGGGGGCAACGCTGAGCTTTTTTTCTCGCCTGAGGGAGAGCAGCAGTCTGCAGGGGCATAGTTGCGTACAGCCCTGCATTAATAAATCACCAGTCAGAGGGAGAACGACTGAAACATTGTTGTATCACACAGTATGCAGCTCAGCCCTCTTAAACACTCAAATGTGCAGAGAAGTCACAAAATCAAGCAGTTGATTCTTATTTCCAATGTGTCAATTCAAATGTTCCAGAGGTAAGAGACCTCCACCTCGGCTGCTCTGTTGTCCAGTGTTCTGTTAGGGCACTGTAAACATGACATCCAAGGAGTGTGAGGAACGAGCAAGGCGCCGAGAAGAGACACCTGCAGCTCACTACTAATGTGTTGTGTTGTTTCAGAGTAATGGCTTTTCTCTGGGCGATCAGACAGCGTGATGGATCAGAGGGAAGCTCTGCAGGGTCAGCACAAGGACAGGAGTTCACATCCCACACATACACTGAGTGTTCTTACTCCAACCCAAACATACATGACCTGAACCAACTCGCAGAAAGAGTCCAAGAACAGTCGCTTCCCCGCCGCTGCCTCCCCCCCCCCTTATAAATCCTCCCCTTCACCCAATGAGGATAAATCTCTCGCTGAATCGTCAGTATTATGTGTAATTTCCATATAAATTAGCTTCATTAAAAGGGGAGTACTTTCTTATTTAACGATCCTCATTTGAAATTCTGTATTTAATAAGACATGCAATCCCAGACTTGCAGACTAATAGCCAACAATTAGCCGGCCTGGAGCATGTGTTTTTTGTGTGCGAGTGATCCTTTGTGTTTATGTATAATCCTTTGAAAGTATTGTACTCCTTCAGTGTTATTTTCATTGATTGTCTTAAATGAGCAAATTGGGCAGCAGCTGCTCTCTCATTCAGGTTTACTCGCAGTGATCCATGAAGCAAAGAGGGGAGATCTAAGGCGTTCACGACCTCACGGCAAGCAGACAAGGAGGGGGGGAGGAGAGTGTTTGAGGTGAGAACTAGAGCAGGTGTGGAGAGACCAATGAATGACCGAGTGTAGAAGTGGAGGAAACATCTGGATGGATCAGAGAGATGGGAATGAAATGCAGACAGAGCAGAAGGCAAAATGATACAGGAGTGGAAGACAGAGAGAGATGTTACGATTTAGAAGAACATGAGTATGTCAGGGCAATGACATACAGGATATAAAATACAGCTTTTTCTTATTCATAAAGAGAGAAAGATGTGCGGAAAGACAACTAAGATGAATAACTAACTTAACCACTGGATGAAATAAAAAACAAACAGAGGTAAGAGGAACACCTCTTCCCCTCCAGATGAATCAATATTCTGCTTTCTGTTTAGTAAGTACACATTTATGTTTGTGCGTTACTGTTTTTTATAAGGCACGTTCTTAACAAAGCTGGACAGATAGTAACTTCATTCTGAAAAGAGGAATAACTGAATGAGACAAAAATATCAAAAGGCTCTGAGGCTAAACATTTGTGCTTATGCTGAGAAAACTCAACATTCATAAACTGCAAAACCATATAAAATACATAAAAATCAGTTTTCAAGACCAGATTTGAGGAGGACAGAGTTTATAATGAATGTTTTGAAAAGATTTGAAGAAGTATTGCCTTGGTTGCTACTGTACTGCACACTTTGAGTTTGTATTTTTTTTGTGCCTCGCAAGAAAGTAAAATCTAAGGAATTTGACCTGGACAATATATGTTTACACTAAAAAAAAAACCTAGTTGCTTTAACTTTAAAAAGTTAGTTGAGACGAACATGTGATTATTCCAAAGAAATACAATTTTCTAGTCAAATTAACTTGACATCAAGTCACTTTTACTTAAATCTTTAAGTTAACAAAACTTTAAAATCACAACTCAGTTCCTGTGAAATTATCTAGTTTAGGCAAAATGGTCTTTTAATTTCTTTTGACTTTCAAAAAAATTCAAAATTCAAAAGTTGAATCCACCTAAAATATTGAGTTAAATGAATTAATCAATTTAAATCGAATATATATATTTCTATTTTAGTAAACTTAAATCAGTTTAGTTTAAACATTTTTAGTGATTCTCTTTGCTTATGTGGAAACTTTAACCCTTGTGCACTCCTCAAATGTATTTATATTTTACTGCTGTGAAGTTCAAAAACTTCTGACTTGCTCAAAACTACCAAAGATTATATTATTTTCAGGATTGTAACCCTTTAAATGCTAAGTTATTATGATTATTGAATGGTGATTAGAGTCTTGGATATGTAAAAGACTAGCAACAAAGTTGATTTGATTGCATTAATCTTTTTTATACCCTCTGGACACCTTCATGGCCAAAATGTACACAGAATCATACATTTTTCCTTTTGTATAAATTGCTGTTTTTTCTGCTGTTGTTTTCTGCTCTTTTTATGGATTTTGAAGGTAGAGAAGAGGGAAAGTGGGAATCCCCCCCAATCTCAGGGTGCTGGTGAGAGACAGGGGGCTTCAGGAGAAAGCTTGCATGAGACATCTAGAGATGGTTGTGTTGGAATCATTGTGAATAGCTAGTCAATCTTTGGAAGAATTTTCATTTCAATGGTTGCTATTCTGCCTACGATGCATAGTGGGGGGTTCGTCTAGCGGTGGAGATTGTCATTTATTGTTTTCAATAGTGGACTGAAAATAAGACTGGTCAACTGACAGTCTGATGGACACCTCAATACCTAAATATTAGATGTGTCTTGTGCATAAAGGGATTTGTGTTTTGTGGGATTCCACATCCAAGCTGTTATTATCTAATGGAAGAATAGAGGATTTGTTCCAGTTAATGGAGTAATCAGAGATAGTGGAGAATGATTGAATAAGTTAATTGTTTCTTCAAGTGAGGACTGAGGGTCATACAGAGTTATCTGATGACGATGTCTGGGGTTTGAATTCCTTTTATGTTGGTGTTCTGACATGGTGTCATGGTGATGACTAAGAGGGGGAGAGTGGGCATCCTTGCCTAGTCCTCCTGTGCAGTGTGATGGGTTGTTATGATTGTCCACTGGTTATAACAGTGGCTGTTGGTGAGGTGTATAGGGTACTGACCCAGTTAATAAATGATTCCCCAAAGCCAAATCTGTATAGTGTGTTTCTTAGAAAGGACCAGTTTACTCTATCGAAAGCGTTTTCTGCGCCATACAGTAATTGGTTTATGTAAACTGGGTGGTTTCCATTTGAATGGGACTGTAGCATGCTATTGATGATGGGGTGGATCTTGTCTTCTGAAATGTTTGTAAAGCTTGACTTGCTGGTGAAGTTGTGTTGTTGACAGAGTCTGTGGGAAGCTGTTCCTGCTGAAGTCAAGGCTTTGGCATAGAGACTGAACTTCTTGGTGTACAGCTTCAATCAGTGCGATTCGGGTGTCGAGGCTGGTAAGTTTATTTTCGGAGGAGGAAGTCCAACGCAACTGTGAACACAACTCTCACGAGACAGTGCGAGATCCATGATAGTGGCGTCCAGCTGCTACACGACAACAAAGAACTCTGATCGGACTGTTAAGCATATTTTTTTTCTGTATTCTCTCCTTTTTCTTTTTCTAAAATCAGAATACAATTAAAACCGACTTGGACCCCCTGGAAATTGTTTTGACGACCTCGACCACTGTTCCAAAAGACTCGGCATCATGAGCACAGCATCTTCACTCACCAAGAAAACTGGGAAATCCAGCCACTCTCCAGATTACAAAAGAGCACATTCAGACTCACTGCCCAGCACAGGTACATCTCCATCTCCATCCACATCTCCGAAACCCCCTTGCGACACCGAGGTAAGAGAAATACTCCTCTCAATCGAAAATAGAGCTCGCCATTTTTTAGGTAATATGAATCACTTTTCAAAGTCGGAAAACATTTAATAGTTGAGGTGACATAAACGTATAATATTGAGTTAACACAACATTTTCATAGACTTGAAGTCAACTAACTTAGAATTTTATGTTATCATGACTTTTTGTTTTTACAGTGTAGGTTTAGTCCATAGACGATATGTATTATACATATTACTATGTATTAAACATGGACATAGTCTCAGTGAGTCTCAGTCACCCATTGGTCTCAACCTAGCAACAGCAAGAGCGGGGCTGAGGCGGGCCTTAACCTCTTGGAAAACAGCAGCAACGTGTTCACCTGTCAGTCAAATAAGCCTTAGCCATATAATCAAAACGGTTGAGTTATAAGATAAATTCAACCCCTGTACATTACGTGTAACTTTGAAGAACTATCCAGACCAATTTTTATTTAACCAGGCTGTAAATGTGTATTTCTGCTGGTAAAATGTAAATTGACATTTAACATGGGTGTCCGACACCTGGGTTCTTCAGCTTGGACCCAAGTGAACACTTGAGGAGCTGCAGTTTTCTACACTTCTGTGTTTTCTTCATTAATTAACACTTACAATTCAATTACTTGTATCTGGGAAAATAGGACAAAAAATGATATGTCATAGTGTCTAGACTAAACAGGCCACTATGCCTAGAGAGAAAATTAAAAGATGCTAAAAGAGGACTGACAAACATTAGCATGCTCATGGCTTGCAAATACATAAATATGTGTTCAAAAAAAGCCAGACATGTCTTATGCTTATGAAGAAATAATGTTCAGGGTAATAATCTTTAAAG